CCTCTTACGACCCCCACGGGCATGTATGGGGAGGCGACAATGTATTCTTAAGCCGTCGCCCCACGGCTAAAAATTATTACTATTATTAAATTATTACTTCTAATACTTCTAAGTTGGTCAAACTTGCCTACCTCATTAAAAGCATTGTTTCCCTGACATTGCCTGATATCATCAGCGAAAACCTGCAGCCTCTGTTCCCTGATGACATCTTTAGGCTTGACATTCTCTATCATCCCTCGCCATACCATGTAGTACTGTCCTCGGCACATCCTGAAACAAACATTTTAGTCTTTTACAGTCCACTTATACGCATAGGCCTCTTCAGAATAAGCAGCTTGGGTAAGTACCACAACACTAGTTATTTCGACTAAAGCTATGAGTGGAACTGGTACAGCTACAGATATGCATGTCACTTACCATCAGGCATATGACTTGTTCAACCAGTCACTAGGTATATACAAAAGACTGCAAACCAGTTTGACTATTGAGTTCTCTGGTTTTTGCGTTTGTTACACATAAGAATTGAAATATTTGTAAATTTTCCACAGAAACATAAGGTTCTTAATTAGTAACTTCAGTAACAAAAGTGAAAAAATAGGGTAGTTTGCATTAATGTTAGACATAACTGATGGATGACTTTACCATCTAAGTCACCCATGACCAAGGACGTGTAAAGCGCCTGAAACATTGGCGTGTTTGAAAACACAAATATATGCAATTAAGATAAAAAATAGCTTCATCTCTTCAGTTCAACTATGTTCTTTTTTGTTTTGACAGTGCCCCTATTTAGATTTCACTTAGCTACTATATTCATGTTGGTAAGAGTAAGTGCGCAATAAAAAACATTACACAGCAGGCTTCTCTGAATTGGCTCTCGTGGCCCATCACAAATTAATTTATTAATGATATTAAGGAAGTAAAAGTCAGATTGTTTGCCAAAAAAAAAGGATCCTTCTATACTTGATTATTATGTGAAATTATACTTTTTTTATATAATAATAAGTGACTGGACTTACAAGTTGTGTGTCTGGTGGTAAGCCTGTCCATAACAGTTTAGGAACTTTAAATCACAAAGATCTGCCAGTGTGCCCAACACAATGAGACATAAGTTGACAAGTCCCATGTGCCTGTAATTTCACAAGCACCCTTGCCCTTCGCAACTGCAACGCAGTAATGTTCACTGCTTGGCAGAAATAGGTACAGCACTTCCCAGGAGAACTCTTTCACAAGGACCTCTACTACTACTAACTTGTTTACTTTTCACGACAGAATGCATATTGAATTAATTTACAGGCGCATGATCAAAGCACTTCCTGTCTGTAACATCATGCAGACTGTTCTTTCTTCGGAGAAGTTAATAGTAATATGACATTTTGGTAATTTTATAGAGAAGTCATTTTACTTACTCGGCAATCTTTTCTACTGGAGGCACCTTTTCATTTGGACATCCCATGGACAACAGCCACTCGGCAAACTTCCCGGGCACGGCATCACCGCTTAACTTCTCTTCATTCATTACTAATCGGGTATTTTCACCAAAAATTCCAAATATCTCTATTTTCAGAATTTAAAACATAACACTATACTCACAAGGAGATTCAAATTGACAGTTACGGTTGTATTAGGTATTACCAGCCAAACTCATATTTTTGAATTATTAAGAGTTTTGGCTTGGATACAAGTTCTTTGAGACATGTCTTTACTTAGTTATCGGAATCCTCATTAATATTTTAGATTGTGGTTCCAATACATTATGGTTTCACTTTCTCTTAACTTAATAACTTAGTTCATTTATTTGAGTGCTTTAAATAGTCTTTAGTGGCAAGAGTCAATATTTATGTTTTCATTTTCATTTAAATCACATTATCTTCTATGACTTTGAGCAAAAACTTTAAATTCGTAATTATTGGAATTTTTAGGATAAAGTCTTTAGTAATTTGGTTTAAAATAAAGAATATAGTTCTAACTTTCTTCATCACTATTTCTTTCTTCGTTTTTTCTTCATAATACACTTATAATAAAAATAATCCTTGTAAAGACTGTAATTGTAACTTCAAAGGCCCACCATTTCACCACCAAACTAATAAAGAATCCATATCTACAAACATGTAACAAACAGTAATCATTAAGTAATTTAACATTCATTACGAACATCTTAGTAAAAACTATCCACATGCTCGCTGATGAAAATGTGATCACAATTTAAAAAGATTCAGGCTCGTTAAACTACCCGGTTACAAGGGCCCTACATCAAGGGTGGGCGGGTCTTAGAGGATAGAAAAAAAATAGTCTAAGTCTAATAGTCTAGTGTCTATCATTCAAAGAGCTGTTACAGATTTTATTGACTGCTTTGATGACATATTGCAGTGATTGAAATAGTCGTTCACTTAAATTTCTAGCAACCAAATGTTGTCAATGAATAACGCAATGTACAGCAAGGACATCTGGAATTTTATTTTTTATACTTTAAAGCCTTAAAGCTATGAAGCCTTTATGGCACCCTGTCATAGCCGGAGCGCCATCCGTAGCAACTGATATAATATTTTTCAAGGGAATCTCTTTCTCATCACAAAACTTTTCCAATGTATTGAATACGGTTTCGCCTTTTGTATCGGTCTCTAAATTTCTAGCAAACAATAGTTCTTCACATATTTTCTCATCTTTTGTAACCCTCATGTAAGACAGCAACAATGCTTCATTAGTTGGTGAAATGGACTTATCGAACTGAATTGAGAATTGACTAGTCCTCAGATGATTGCACAATGATTCTTCAATGTTTTCAGCCATTTCATCAATTCGTCTTTACACAGAAATATTACTCAAAGGAATTTTTCGGATAATATCTGCGGCTGGTTTATGAAGCACAGTAGTTATTACTTCCTTTATTGCTGGCAAAATTAACTCTTCTCCAATGTTGTGTGGTTTGCCTTTTTGAGCAATTAACAAAAAGATATTGTACGTAGCTCGAAGTCCGTCGTCATCTTGCTTAACAGCCGCCGAAGAGTACCTATTGCTATACTTGGCTGAGTATTATGCTTCTTCTTTAGGTCTTGAAAATATGCTACATTCTTGTCTTGCTTACCTGGATGCATTTTATTCAAATGATCTTGCAGTCTTGAAGGCTTCATTGCTTCATTCGAAAATGTTTTTAGACACAAAAGGCACAAAGGCGACGATGGGTTTGTGGGATTTTCAATGAATTCGAATTTAATATATTCCGCATAGTATTGCCGTCTCTTCTTTTTTACTTCCGACATTGTTTTGTTTTGAGAAATACGTAGGTAAGTGTTGAACTTAAGTACTGCTTATCTATTACACGCGAAACCACAAATGAAAATAAAATAAATATTACGTTGTTTATATAGGATTGCATAAGCACTACGCACCAACAGGAATAAGACAAATATGCATAAACTCGTTTATCCCATTCGCCGCTCAATCGTACTCAACAAGTAAGAACAAGTATTCTATGAACCAGCAAATTCATACAGGAATGCACAAATCGGGTTATTTAACTTGTTAAAACATGATTGCTCGCGGTCTATTATCTACGAAAATTACCTGTCTGGGAATACTAATAACTATTAAAATGTAAAATTGTGATTGTTACCTTTTTATTTGTTTGTTTGTGTCTACTTTCATTTCGAAACGGAGCGACCGATTGACATGATTTTTATTTTATTTATTCAATAAAACAGGACAGATATATGAACTACACGGAGAGAAATATCGAACCGAGTTAGTTTGCAATCTCTTAACTAATATTAGTTGATGTTCACAAGTTGTAGTCGAGAGTCGAGAGCTCAGTCGGTGTCTAGAGTCTTCCTAGATGAAATTACAAATCTCCCGTTAAGCCTCTACGCAACGCCCCCATTTTTTTTTCTGGGTCTCTTACCCCCTTTAGGCCTACAGCGCCCACAAGAGGGCGCCATCGCCTACTTTGGAAAGGCTGTATAAGAGCAAGTTCCATTCTCGTTGGAAAAAATATTTCCCGGGAATTTGGTACAAGACCATGCAGAGTGAGCCTCCTCGGGTCCCTTGGTTGGTGTCAAATTGTCAGCGCGCGCTTCGATCTGGCCACGTTCCTTTAAACAAATTTTTGTATTTGATGCAGAGGGAAGTATGGGAGAACCTATAGGGCGCGGTTCTTTGCACTGGTTGGTTTCCATACATTTAATGTTGAGTGGTTTCAATCTGTATTGTCCGAGCCAACATGTAGTGTCGCGGAAATTTTGTATACATGTTTAGATTTTTGATTTATCTGTCTGGACTTTATTAAGTGTATTCTTGATGTACCGTTTTACTAATGAGGCTGACATGTTCAATAACGATCAAAGCCTCTAAATAAATAAAGATAAAAAAAAACAATGAAATTAAAGTATATGTTATTGTAAATCCTAAATAGTTTATGAACGAACTCAAGATAATAAAAAACCTTAGGCCGAGATTTATAAAACTAATTTTGAGTCAACTCAGCAGAGACGGCGAGACAAGCAAGTTTTTTGTATTTTTAAATCGAAATTTGCCATTTGCGCTCTTAAGATCGCAGCATACGTAGGTAACGTGATAGTTAATACTTATTTAGTATTCAAGTATACGCGACGGAAATGGGACGAGACGTGAAAAATATCATCTTCGACGATATTTTGCTCGTTTCCGTCCGTCCGCGTCTGGTATACTGCAACCATTAGTCTGTGACAAAAATGGAACTTTCGCAGCAAAAATGTAATTTTTGCAGCAAAAGTGCAACATTTCGGTACATAAAGAAACCTAATTTCCGTCTCAAAGGTCCTGGCAACACTGATCATTTGTGTCATTTTGACATTCTGTTCTGATAAGACAAGACCAGAGATAATAATATAATTGTTCATACTGTATTATTTTTGTTGTAAACTTTAAAGAATTAAAAATGTTGGGAAACCTTAAAGATTTTATAACTGTAGTGCAAGACGGACTAGCATCGAACAACAACATACGCCAAACGTTACAAGAAGTACAAAAAGTGACGAACATTTTTAAAGATAAACAAAAAGTACATAACGAAAGTAAAGTAAACTACGGCGCAGGAGGGGATTTGTTAGAAAAATATCAGAAAGACTGGGCTGAGTTACATGCTAACGCTGATAATAACGCTAAAGCAGCTGATCAAGCGGACAAATTGATAATGGAACTCCTAGAAATCGCTAACATGCGCTTTCAAAGTGCTCATGAAATGGTACAAACTTTGTCTCACTTGCCGAGTTTGACTGTGGCCGTGGCGCAGTGCATGGATAGCGTGAGGAACGTCCACAGCCTGCTTAAGACTGTTGAGGAGGAGTTAGTGGAGTTCGAAGACATTGTCGAGAGAAATAAAATGGAGAAATGGAAGTTAGATCATCATTATCATTTGACTTTGTACAAGGAGAAGAAAATGGGTAAGATACTAAATGAATGACAATGTCTATGGTATTTCTATATCTATTAAATCTCATCATCATCAATCCATTTATATGTCCCATGGATGGGCACATGTTTTTCATCTCAGATGAGGTTTTAGGCCATAGTCCGCCGCACCAATGCAGGTTGGAACTTGCAGGTTGTACGTGCAGGTTTCATCACAATGTTTTCTTTCACCTAAAAGCTCATAGGTGAAAGGCTACCACTGTAAAAGCTATGGTACCCTAATGGTTCGACCTACTGCCTCTCCAGCAGAAGTTCGTAGGTTTGAATCTGGGCTCGTACCTCTGAGTTTCTTGTAATTTATGTGCAAAATTTAATTTGAAATTTATCGTGAGCTTTTCGGTGAAGGAAAACATCGCTATGAAACCTGCATGCACGTTGCAGAACGTACACAACCCTCGAAAAAGTGTGAAGCCGTGTGTGCATTGGGCCGAGTGGTGGGCCATGGCCTAAGCTCTCGTCTGAGGCCCGTGCCCAGCAGTAGAACGTATAATGGGTTGATGATGACGACAAGCTCATGGTGAATTTAAAATGAAATTTTGCACATAAATTCTGAAAAAGTGAGTGGTGTGAGGGTGAATTAGAACCCACAAACAATTCACCATTAGGCTATCACGACTATTCTAACTTAAATATATAACCTACTAAATCTATTTGCTCTTACTTGCCAAAGCATAGCCGGAAATGCCGTGTTGCAGTAACCAATAACCTTCACCCTTACTGACTTATGCCATAAAAATTATGAAACACTACTGATTGATAAAACACAGTTCTTCACTGAAACTATTTCTAGTATACTTTTATTGTTTATACCATTAATTAATTAATACCATTTGGCACTGTTACAAAATTAATTATATAGTCGGCTTATTGCAAGAAATCATTAATTGCCGTATAAATTATACCAATTTATGGTTAGTTATGGTAAATGTAAAAGTTTTCTAGTTGGTAAACTGTACTAACACTATAGTGGAATGTTGATATTAATCATTCTCTATATTTTGTTTTATTTTGTTGAGGGATAACCAACAATCGTTCAAGGTGAGCTATACAAGTAAAGATAATTGTACACGTTATTGTACAATCAACTACATCATCCAAATTCCTAATTTATAATCTGTCTATAGTAGCTTTTATGAAAACCCCAGCCAAAATTTGGCAACATTTTACACACAAAATCTAAGTGTAAAAAAAAGAAATGCAAGATGTGATTTCAAGAATTAACACAGGAATAATTGTAGGTTTACTTATTATTTCTGCAACTATTTGGAGCTTTTGGCATTGTTCTTATTTATTTATTTTAATGGGATTGATACAGCACACTTATACACTGGCATGTGATGTGATTTACTGCTAGACCTAGACCCTAGTTTTTAATTAAATATTAAGGAGTGAAATTAAAGACACTTGATTAAATCATTGATTTTTTATTGAAAAAAATCATTCCATTTAAATCACAATGATTTATTATACATACAAAGACTGAACACAAACAAAAATCCTTCAATCTGATTGGACTTGAATAAATACATGAAAATCATGGTAGTAAAATGTCATGATATTCAATAAATAAATATGAAAATGATTTAATCAAGACAATACTGGTAAGATACTGTAAAACTTGGGGGCTTCCAATAGATCAGCGGTTCCCAAACTTATTTATCTTGTTGGCCATGTGCCAACTTTTTTATTGTGCTGCCCCCTGCCTTTCGTAAATGGATTTTTTACAAATTCAGAAACTTGGAATGTGTTTTTAACAGCGGACACAGTGATAAGTTTAACCATATAGTGAGAAACTTTATAAAAAAAACACATGTTAAGTTTTTATACATTTATCTAACCGAATATCTTGTTTGTTATGAAATATTTATTACATAGGTAATTTGTCTATAATATAAATAAAATATTATGTAAGTTCATGTATCCTAGCTAAATTCGATACAGAAAGTTGAATAACAAAACATTATTGGGCACCCAATGATGGCATGTGAAAGAACATTTTTGATCAATGCTCATTAGTTAAGGCTAACTCAGTGAACGGCCTGCTGGTGTAATTTTCGAGTTTACCTAGCCAATTATTATATACTTTACAAAGTGCCTATTGATACATTGACCCCTCCTGCGTAAAGTATCGTATGTCAAAATTGTTAAGTTTACAGGGGAGCATTTTCAAGTTCTACGTTTTATTCGGCGATATTATCCGTTTTATTACTCACATAGAGTGATCATCTAATAATAGATCATCTAACCGATATCTGGGGTTTTATAATGTGAGTAACGAGAAATGCTAAAGTCACGTGTTATACTTATTTCTGTGAATTCAGAACTTTAAAAGGCTCCCCTGTAAACTTGGGAATTTCGACATATGATACTTTACACAGGAGGGGTAAACATGTTATGATTTATGAATAAAGTAATTAAGTTTTTGAATCTTATTAATATTTTCTGCTAGATGTGTATAATGGTAAATGGAAAAAAACTGCGAACATTTTATTATACATTCATTTACTGCATATATCTCATTCAGCGTCAATTTGCGATTCTGAACTTGAATTACTACTCGAAACTCAAATGTTTGCAATCTCTTCCTTCAAATTAAACAAATCGTTAGGTATGACATAGTTTGTTACATAATTAATTACTGGTAATTTTTGTGTTGGTTTCAAATCACTGACTAGTAATTTAAAACTTATATTGAAAAAAATTCTTCACAGACATAACTTCAAGATTAGTATAATAATAATAATAATAACGCACACACTCAACATAGCCCCGCACTAGGGAAACCCTGTGTCGCAGGTGCCATGGACACACACATAGACGACCACAAATTACACCCAAACTCACGAGAGAAATAAATGTAAGCCATACAAACATTTCTCCCGGCCCGGGAATCGAACCTGGGACCTCTACGTGGCAGTCCGGCATGGTAACCGTTCGGCCACGGAGGCAGTAGTATAATAGCCTAATCAAACTTTGGCGAAATTGTGGTAACTGTAAAATAGTGAGAGGTGAAAACCCGATTTTTAATCAAGTTTTTGTTTGTTGACAAAAAAAAATTTCAAATTCTACATCGAATTTGGCTAGAGTATAAGCACTATCTGTATAATATGGCTTATTCCATTTATAGAAAGTCAGAATGTTCGACGATCTGCCTAAATTTACTCTCTTGAACCCTCATTAATGTCTCTTGTATCTCCTATTTCTGACGTGTCGACAAGGATCCCTTGTTGGTTGGAGTGTACTTGGTGGGCCTATACAGACCACTTTGGGAATAATAGCAATAGATCTTACAATTTATAGCTCCACCCTACATATAATAATAATCATAAAGACAAGAATAATAAAATTATTATCACTAGTTCCAGGTAACTAGTGATAATAATTTACATAAGACTTTTGGTTTTCCAGCGGCTCTAGAGAACACTCGCAGCAAATTAGCCAAGGAACAAAAAAGACAGTCCTATGAGCAAGAAAAGAGGCAGCTAGCAGAGTTGCAGAGAAAAAGAGAACAGAGCTCTAATGCTTTTCAACAGGATGTTGTGAAGTATTTGAATGACGGAAGTGTGCGTATAGGTATGTATCAGCCAGAACAGCTTATCATAGTTAGTGTTACAAATATCAATGATAAATTAAATTATCAATGAACATTAGACAACATTACATACGTTGCCCCGAAAGTAACTAAAGCACTTGTGTTATGGAAATCGGAAACAATAACAGTACCACAAACACTTAGTACCGAAACACGAGATATGTAGAAAAGTTAGTTTGTACATTGACCCGGCCGGGGATCGAACCCGGGACCTCAGAGATGGCGACTCGACCACGGAGGTTGTCAAATGATATTTGTAATTAGAAGACGCTTACATTCCTTAGTTGCAGTTTATTTTAAATGATACCAGGTGACGGGATGAACAAGTCGTGCGCCTGGTGGTAAGCGACACGACTGTCTTTAAATCTGAGGGGTAGTGCCACTGCGCGCGTCACCCTGAGATGATGATGAGAAACCAACTCATTACCCCATACCATACTACGCCAATGTATCATTCTTCAAACCCTCCTAAAGTTTTCAGTTTCCCAGTAATCCACAGAGATCACTGCAGGAAAAAAGAATAGTATTCCCAAACACACAAGTGAACTGGAAATGAAGAAATATCCCTTCGGACCAGTTATACTATTGAATCGTTCAGGAGCAACAGGGTAGTTCAATAAGATACTACAACATTTTAGATACCCTACATTTATAGATTTTCGTACATACAAAGTAAAAAGTAATGCGACCTCTCTGACTGCCTCCAATTCACAACCTTTGGAGTCGAAACCCTTGGCCCGCGGGGTCCCATTGCCCTTCATCTGTACACATTTTTTAAAAATAATATAAAGTGACGGGACGAACAAGTCGTGCGCCTGATGGTAAGCTACACGCCTGTCCATAACAATTGCAGTGTCCTCAGAGCTTTAAATCGCAAAGATCTGAGGGGCACTACCACTGCGCCCGTCACCCTGATACATATGTTGACAAGCCCCAAGCGCCTGTAATTTCACTAGCGCCCTTACCCTTCAAAACCGGAACGTCCTTGGCGGCAGAAATAGGTAAGATAAGGCAGTCCTTCCCTGGACGAACCCTTTCACGACGAGCTCTACTGATACAATTTTATCCAAAAAATTAATAGACTGTCTGAGAAATCCAAGGGCTGGCAGCTACCTTGCCCAACGCATTAGCATAGCCATACTAAGGGGGAACGCTACCAGCATTTTAGGCACCTTGACGCGGGGACCCAATTTTATTCATATAATTTAATCCTAGTTTTAGTTTCTAATATTTAAGCGCCTATTATACCTTACCTGTATATTTCAACATACAATTACAATCAAATATCTTTATTTGTGTATGTGCAACGGCGGATATTTAGTAAATTTTTTACTACAACTTGTATTATTTATAATATCCGTAACACTCACAAACCTAAAGTTACCTGAAGATACCTATAAAGGTATCGGCTGCGGTGAAAAGGTTATTCAAAAAAATCTGTCACAAAATGTCACTAGCGGCGACGAATGCCGAAAGTCAGTACAAAGATCTATAATCATTGAGTATATAACCCGAAATAGAGACGAAATAAGGGCCATGCATTCCTGGTAACTCATCAGTGATACATCACTTATAAATATCAACTCTCGTTTGCACTGAAATTAGAAAGCTGAAATAGTACGGCGCCAACAACTGACCTGTGTGTAAGTCTCCGTATATTCCAAAAATATTCTGTATTTATTCTAATAAAGATAACATCTCTAACAATGGCGTGCTTTTCCGTTCGGTGGTGTGGGGAAAAACAGCAAAACATCTAATTACAAAACAAACTGAATCAAATTTCATCAGTAATTAATATTAAATATGTTGCAATTTTCGTCCCTTATAGCAAAGCTCAAGTGAATTGGCCGATTTGAAGCATAGATTTAGTATATAAATCTATGATTTGAAGTTAATCAATTGACGACACCCATCAATTGTTTCGAATTCGGGCTAACAAATCGGAGCGCAGTTGTCACAGTAATGGTATAGCAGAATAGTTTTCTCTATTTCCGGTTATATACTCGATGTCTATAACAAAAACACAGGAGAATTTCGTCGGCTCAGTAACTGGACCCGTGGTTCAGTTGGTTAGAGCAATGCTACGGTGCAACATGGTCGTGGGTTAAAGTTCGTGGAATTACATCTGTTTGCCAAGTTTTAATGAAATCGGTTACCGGAAAGTGCGCGAAACCGGATTCATCGTTTCGTGGAACATTTTCTTCAAAATTTAATGGGACCATTACTGAGGTACCATTTTTCCAACAAAAAAAGAATCATCAAAATCGGTTCACAAATGTTATGGCGTAACATACGTACAACAAAAAACAGTCAAACTAAGAACCTCCTCCTATTTTGGAGTCGGTTAAAAAATTGAATTAAACGAAATTTAATGCTATTAGGTGGTTCATTATAAATCGTTACGATAAGCGTGTGACTTGAGTGAGCACCAAAAAGTATTTGTAAATTTTTTTAAAAGGCACCACTATTTATTGATCTGTGATTAAAGAGGATGTCATATAACTTTTACTAAAAAGTAGTACACAATGTTACACTCAAACTGCATGCTTTTGTAGATCTTACTGGCCCTCTGTAAGAGCTGAGTGAGCCCACATTAAATTATATATCTTTCGTTTCATCGTTTTACAAATAGAAACGTCGGTATTACAATACGCACATGAAACCACATATTGTCATAACTCAAAAATGATGACATTGGATAAACACAACTTGGAAGTTTGAAAGAAAGTATAAAATATTCTTGTTTATGAATGGATAACTAATTAACTGACAGCTACCTTGCCCAACGCGTTAGCATAGCCATACAAAGGGGGAACGCTGCCAGCATCTTGGGCACCTTGCCGCGGGGACTCAATTTTAATCATATAATTTAATCCTAGTTTTACTTCCTAGTATTCAAGCTTTTATTGTACCGTACCTGTACATTATGAAAATAAAATAGATTAAATTAGTATATTATTATGTATAAATAAAAATAATTCCATTATTCGCCGTAAACTTCAGAATAAAAAATATTTATTTTTTCTGAATTGATTTATTTGCATAACTTGCCCAAAAAAAAGATACTTATCACCATAAGGTATTATTACAGCACGTGATATTCAAATTATTCAACTGCATAGAGTATATTGGTACTAAGCCCCTATGTTAGATCTCATGCCCTTGCCAGTGGAGCACCCAGTAGGTAGGACCATGAGGAAACGGTCATTATTTATTATATTTCCCCTATAATAGATAGGTCGTATTATTTATATTTCGCACACGAACCAAATGCTGCCGTAACTCAAAATTGTGGAATTGCAAACAAAAGCAATACGAGTAAATACAGTAGAAGTGGTTAGTTGTTGCTGCCAACATTACGACAGGCAGACTAGCATGGTAACCGTTCAATCACAGAGGCAATTAAATACTGAATGGATCTTATTGCGAATAATGTGATTATTTTTATTTAGGTACACATGTAGGATGACAACACTAACACGCTGCAATTGTTAGGGACATACATGTAGCTTACCATCAGACGCAAGACTTGTTCGTCCCGTCGCTTGATATTATATTAAAAAAAACTGAGTGTGGGTGGGTGAGAGGTAGGAAGACAAATGGCGCGAGAGAATTTAGGACGTGTGACATAAGTGTTTTACCGTAGATTCGGTTTACATTATATTTTTGTTAACCATTTATAAAAGCATCAATTTTTTAATTGATTTCTCAATTCCACGATTTTGAGTTACCGCAGTATTTGGTTCATGTACGAAATATAAATAATACGACCTATCTATTATAGGGGCCTACTATACAGGTGTAATCGTTAAGGTGTGTCAAGGCGATTATTCCAAAATATAAGAGATATCAAAAACCTTCAAACTAATATATACGTAAGTACGTTCCCTAATGGGTAAATCGACATCAATAACTTTTTAAAAACAAAACTAGAAATACACAAAATAGCATTAAACGCTCCCATACATTTAATATGACATTATTCTTTTAATGTATGATATGACATGTAAGAGATAACAATAAGTTAATAGCTAACAAAACTGCTGTAAATAAAGTAAGTACCTTTTAATTGAAGAAACATATATAATGTCATAGTCAATAATTTGGTCAAGTGTGAGTTGTCCACGTGAATAAAATTGATCAAATTTTTAAATTTTAGTGCTGATCGACTCAGTTTCATGTAAGGATCATTTCATTATATGGGACGAAAAATATCAGGACAGCTGAAGTGGGTAAAAGTTAATGAAAAGTTTTTTTCATTCAACATTTGTATAAAAAATTGATCAATTTTATTCACTGTAATGGACAACTCAATCAATCAATCAATCAATCAACCGATTGCAGTCTACTGCTGGACATAAGACCCCAAGTGTACGCCATAGTGCCCGATCACCCGTTTTCCGCATCCAACCACTACCCGCGACCTTCTTCAGATCGTCGGTCCATCTTGCAGGGGGACGTCCAACATTACGTTTGCCGAGACGTGGTCTCCACTCGAGAACCCGTCTACTCCATCGCTCATCGGTTCTGCAACAGATGTGGGCAGCCCACTGCCAGTTCAGTTTGCTACATTTCTGGACGATGTCCACAACTTTAGTCTCATGCCGTACTTTGTCATACTTCGTTCCGGACTTTGTCCCTTAACGAGATACCCAGCCTAGACCTTTCCATATAGATCATAACCGGTAGGACGCATTATTTGTAAACCCTAGTCGTCAAGCACTGCGGGACTGGTGACGAGAAGACATGACGCAGTTTCCCAAATGCTACCCAACCCAGCTCCACTGTCCTATTTCACGCTCGAGTCCTATTTCACGCTCGAAGTTTTCTCTGCCTAATTGCAGGGTTTTATATTTATTTATTTATTTTATTTTTTTATATTCTCGGACAACTTCGAGCGTTTCGCCATTAATCGAAATCGGCTCCGGGATGACGAACTCATTGAACAAGACCTTCGTCTTGTCCAAATTCATTCGGAGATCGACCGATAATGAGGCAGCGTTAAGGCTGTTCAGCATTTTCTGCAGATCCTGCAGCGATTCTGCCTTTATAACGATGTCGTCGGCAAAGCGAAGGTGTGTGAGATTTTCACCATTGACATTGATGCCCAATCCGGTCCAATCAAGTGTCTTGAAGACGTCCTCCAGAGCGTTTGAGAACAGTTTCGGAGAAATAACATCTCCCTGTCTCACGCCTCTGTGCAACTGGATGAGTCTTGTCTTGTTGCTTTGTACTTGGACGGACATCGTAGCCTTGTTGTACAAATTTCTCAGCACCTGTACGTACTGTAGCAGGCTGGATCAGTTTATATTTAGAATTTTATAAATAATAGGTTGTTGTCAAATGGAAAAGAGTTCTGAGACAGGCTTCGAAATTGAATACACGTATAAATCTTTATTTATGAATATAATCGTCGTTTTATATTTAAGTAGTGCCTCTCGCAAACCTAAGCTACGACTCTCTCTACAGTACCGCCAATCGACTTGGCATCGCTGAAAGGATTCCAGAACAACCCAGGTGTCGATGGAGTCGAATGCTTTCGCGTAGTCCACAAATGCTACACACACACACACACACGCACACGAACACGCACACACACACACACACACACACACACACACACACACAGTCGCTGATTATACTCTTCGGACTTCTGTATAATCTGCCGAACAGTGTGTATGTGGTCCACAGTGCCATAGCCTCTTCGAAACCGGTTCCGGTAGCTGGAAAGCCTCAAATCTTCCAACGAGACTATTTGTTGAGGACTCTTGAAAACAGCTTATAGACGTGACTCAGGAGCGCGATAGGTCTGTAGTTCTTAAAGAGGGTTTTGTCTCCTTTCTTGAAATACAAAGCTACCACGCTTCTGCTGCACGCCTCCGGGGTAGTCCCATTGGCTATGACGGCGTTGAATAGCTCCTTGAGCTTTCTGAGCACTAGGTCTCCTTCTGCCCTGAGAAGCTCAGAGGTTATTTCGTCTTTGTCCACTTCTGGCAGACCGTCTGTGAAGTGCCATGAAAGTGTGGCTCTTGGGTCGTTCGCGTTGGGTGATGGCTTTGGAGCACGGGCATCTGACGAAGCTTCTTCTGGCATCTCGCGCCGTGTCCTCATCAATTCCAGAGTCTCAGTCGATAGTTTGGGCTTTTCTTTTTCTTTCTTGGGATTTTCGGACTCCTCCGGGTGTTCTGAAGTGCCTAATTCCCTCTTCGCGAATTACCCCTACCACACCTTCAAGGTCCTTGTCAATATTTGCCGTGGTTTCCAGCAAAGCGAAGCGATTGCTCAGTTCCAACTGGAACGCTTCGGAGCCATGCATGGTTTGGAGCAGCGTTAGACGAATAAGAGATCCCATCGTACGACTTCTCTCGACCTTGAAGTCGATATTTAGGATACCTCTTACGAGTCTGTGGTCGCTACCGGTATTGAACCTATTGACCACTGAGATATCCCTAAATATACGCTTCTTGTCCGTCAAGATGAATCGATCTCGTTTTTCGTCATACCATTGAGGCTTTGCCAGGTCCACTTCCCTTTAAGGGCTTCTTCTTAAAGAGTTAAAGAGGAGCGATTCATGCAGAACAGCCCCTGCATGTCCAGGAAGTTTACCAGCATTTGCCCCTTTTGGTTTCGCCGTCCAATACCGTGTTACGTGTGTTATAATGGACAACACACACTTGACCAAGTAATTGGCTATGACGTTATATATATTTTTTCAATTAAAAGATCTTTTTATTACCTTATTTACAGCAGTTTTGTTATCTGTTAACTTAATGTTACCTTAAGTAGGAAAACTAAAGCCTCTCTACAAATGTCATATGAAATGTATGGGAGCGTATAATGTTCAAATTGTTGATATTTCTAGTTTTATTTTGAAAAAGTTATTGATGTCGATTTATTCATTAGGTAACGTACTTTCGATATCAGTTTAAAGCTTTTTGATATCTCTTATATTTATGGAATAATCGCCTTTTTTTTACGGGGCTGAAATCTTTATATGCGAGATATATATATGCTTTAGATACCCCCGCCCAGGGAGACTCAGGGGTTATGTGGGGACTCTCCCTCCAGACTGGAGGGCCTACCCCCTAAAACCCTCCCGGGTTTGCCTCCCGCCGGTTGAGTCGGCACCGTGAGGTCGGCGCACATTCACCATGACGTCGCCCAGCCGCCGTGACTTGCGTCAGGGCTTCCGCGCCAACGGAGGGGCAGGTCAGTTGTCCTCCGACCCGCCCCCCAGATGAGTGAGGCCATGCAATGCAGGCTCCAGAGTCCCTATCCAGAGCCCGCTGGCCTATGTATAAAAAAAAAAAAAAAGTAATAATCGCCTGGGCACAATTAACGATTAGACCCTGTATATGCACTATGTAGATGAATAATTTTAGTATCACATGCTTTGGTATAGTATGGTGATAAATTAGTTCCCTTTTTTTTTAAATGAGTGTTGTTTGTTCTAGGACCTCCTCCAACGCCGAATCTAACTTTGGAGCAAGTCCAGTTGGACGAAGACAGAACTGACTTGGACAAGTTTCTGGACAGTTGACCTAGGCGTTGCCTTATACAGAGCCTGTACCAACGTGTTGAAATTAATAATGTTATTTATTTTCCAAAGCTATTATACTGTTGAATCCTACCCATGTGTTTTATAATCTTATACCCTATAAATAACAGCAGTGAGTTTGCACAATTCATATAAAATTTATTTTTTCTTTTGTAATACCTAAAGAATTTAAGCGCGGTAGTGTGTTTTTTAAACCAACTGAAATTATTTTTCTTATTCAATACCATAAAGTCAAAAATACAAAAATATATATACAAAGCATTTATGACTAGTAAAAATAAGCACATTGCTAAAACAGCTTTATCGGTACACGGATCACGCCGGTCACGACACTGTTCGATACACGTCTGTAGCACTCGGATCTCACAAAAACTCTCACAATATCAATATCAAAATTTGCCCGCGCCCGCTACCGCCCGCCGGTGATCATTTCTAGGCCCCAGTGGCCAATGCCCAGTGCCTCACCACAACCACCACTGATACCCATATTTTTTTTGGAGCCACACACTACTGAATTTACTCGATTAAAATCTGCACAGGAGTCGCTTCGCTTGTGACCGGCCAGAATTTTCTTGTTAACTGCAGCACTCGTCGGGGTGTAGCGGTGCGGGCGTGTGTAAAGACTAAAAATAAACGAGTAGCAATGGGTTGTTGTGGAGACGCCGCGAGAGCGCCGCGTGCATCTGCTACGTCTTCCTCATGAGGGGGTGCAGGTCGCCTCCGCCATGCGCGGACAACTTCACCTTGCCTGTTACGTGGTTCTTGCCGCAGGGCCCCGCGGCCTTGATTGCGTCACTCGCGTCCTCCATCTCCTCGTCGGACGAAAAGTCCGATACGCACAGCGTGAGGTGCCTTTTCTTGGGCGGCACCACGTGCAGCGTCCACCGCATCGGCCCCTTGTGGTTTGTCTTCGACTCGCGCGAATCGTAGTCCGTATCAGACGCCGCCCGCTGGGACTCGTTCTTCAAAGTTCGTAAACTCTTGTTGGATCTATGAGTTTGCTCCTTTTTTTCCCCCCTCGGGGGGGTGTGGAAGTTTTTTAAATTCGTGACACTCGTCGTATGTCCCTTAGCGTTCAGGTCGGGAAAATTTTGAGAATATATGACGACACTATCGACCGCCTTATCTTTATGAAATTTTGCCGGCTGCTTCTTCTTGGGATCGTCATCGGGTGCCGGCGGCGATGTAGAGGAACGCTTCTCGGCCGAGTTGCCGCTGCTACAGCTGGTGTTGCTGTTGCTATTGCTGTACTGCTCCACAGCCTGCTTCTCCAGTTCGCGGAACTTGGTGTCGATGCTCTCATCGGAGGCCTTGTACTGCTCGAGAGCCTCCTTTTCGAGTTCTTCAAACTTGTTGTCCACATTGGGCGGGCGCAGGCGCGCCCCCGGTAACACGATTTTAGAGTTCAGCTTTAACAATCCCGGCGTGACTAGCTTCTGCGAGAGGCGCACGCATCCTACCGGCGCCAGATTGATCGGCGACGGCGCGCTCATGCTCAGCACCGTGCTGTACAATCGCTTTTTCCGGAGGCCCGTATCCACGGGGGCCGCGCTCGTTGACGGCAGCTGCCCGTCCGTGACCACTTTCTCCTTCTGCTGCGGCGGACTCTCCGCCTCGGGTTCGTCGGGCGGCGGCGACGGCTGCCGTTCGGCAGCGGGCGGCGGGGCCGGCTCGGCCAAGGGAGCCGGGGCGTCTTTGGGTGCGTCGGGCTTCAGGGCTTCCTTGGGCTCCGCGGGGGGCGCAGGTGGGGGCGCGTCGGTGGGCGGTGGCACGGGCGCGGCGGGCGCGGGCACGTGCGTCAGGTGGAAGCGGTGGTCCAGGCGCGGCGCGGAGGGCGGATCGCGCGGCCACCACACGTAGCGGCGCTCGGGCCGCGCCAGCGCCGCCGCGGGCCGCGCCGAGTGCGCCGTGGGCGCGTAGCGGCTCACGTTCGTGCCGCGGTACGGCGGGCAGCGCGCCGCCGACGCGCGCATCACCGCCTGCACGCTGGCCGACAGCCGACCCATCGCGCGCTGGCACTCCGTCAGCTGCGGCGGCCGCGGCGCCTCGAACTGGAACTGGAAGACGACTCGCGGTCAGTTCGCCATGAGGCTAGAAAACCTCGAGGAGACTCCGGAGTGCCGGCCCCGACCTTGCACGTGGGGTCGCAGAAGAGCTGGGTGGGCGCGTCGAGGCAGTAGGCGGGGGGCGGCGGCGCCAGCGCTTGCAGGCGACGCGGCTGGCGCCGGCGCGCGCGCATCTTGCGCGGGACGGGTGGCGGCGAGGGGGTGCGCGGCGGGGGCGCGGGCGCGGGCGGCGAGCCCGACGGCGCCCACAGCGCGCGCACGCTCAGAACGCGCGCGGCCAGAGCCGCCTCCTCGCCCGCGGCCCTCGCGCCGGTCAGGCCCCAGCGCTCGCTAGCTGCCGATCGGTGCCAGTTATATTCACTATAAGTACGATCGCGGCACTCGCGGCGGCGTTCTAATCTGTTAATCTTCTTTATTAAGCGAACTTTTAAGTAAAACGAATTCGAGTTACGAGTGAGCCTAGAGGATGGTGCAAGAGAGAGTCAAGGAAAGCACGCACAAATCGTCGTCGGCCAGCACGCGGTACTGCCGGCGGCGGCGCGGGAACAGGTTGCGGTCCGATGGCTCGTCTACCAGCTTGCGGAACCAGTACTCCACCTGGACACACATTACACCAGCAAACTTATTAAGAGTTCCTCTGATATCTATCAGCACAGAGAAATACCTGTCGTATAAATGCCCATCAGATATTCAGATATTTTGAGAGAATGACTGGAATGGAGTCACATCTGATGGTTTTCTTTATTTGATTTTTTTTAAAGCACTAAGCGCCTCTATCAAATGCCACAAGGCACAACAGTTGAGCATTGGGTGACTTGAAACTTGTGGGTAGCAGTCTTACACTGCGTTTTTGAGGAAGTGAAAGCGCCATTCAAAAGTGAACTTTTTGTTCTGTGAAAGTTCCGGAAATTGTCACGCTGAAAAATTCCGATCATGGTTCTGTTAAGTGACTTAACGCAAAGAGTAATTATCCGACTGTGGTCATTGTAACCTCTGGTAGCATCCAACATTCTGTGAGATCGGAATTTTCGCATCCCTGCCCGCTGTAGCCACGTCCATTGGTTTTATCACTCGCGTTCGTGTAACATTTCTCTCTGGAAAAACGTATATTCAAATTAACGGAAGTGCTTTTCCCGCCATACAAAGCGTTTGACAGGACAAAATGGCGCGATCAATTACGCGCCAAAAATGTGCAACTACTGTGTATTGCTATTTTAAGCTTGCTGATTTTCGTGTTATAAATAACTGCAATATAAGCTACTGATTTTCACACAGTTTTTTGTTTGAAAAACTACCTGACTTCATCGTAATAGAAATTTCCATAATATTGTGCCAGTCTAGACTCCGGTATTACGTCTTTTACACTTCTTCTGCCGCTACAACTTCCATTTTCTTGGATCGGACTCGAACTTGATCGTTTTTCTGAAATAGAATTTTCTTTTGATACGGTCTGTTTGTGTTCCAAAAACTTCGCTTGGAAGATGTAGCGTGGATGCTGAGCAATGTTGTTCTTACCTGTTAATTCGCATTGATTACTTGTCTGTAAGTTGTGAGATTCAATTGTTACGTCTTGTAGAGCCTGGGAAACACGACAGTGCTGTGCCCAAAGGCGCTGCAAACAAGTGGAACAAGTCGCAACAGAACGATATAGAATTCTTCACATTACTGCTTTTTCTTTACAAAATAACTGAACAACTTAGAACTTTACAACTTTGCACTTTACAGCTGATTAAATGGGTGGTATTTAATGTTCTGAGTTCAAGTGTCATGGCGAACAGTGTGAGGAGTACCTGATTTGCTATAATGAATTCATCGGGAGGTTCCGTAGCCCATGTGAGATCCGCACATAGGGCGATGTGTGCCCACGCAGACGGGTACCGATCCACTTCGAAGCTCATTCAATGTTGCATACAATTAATTATCTTTAGAATAAGAAACGAACTAATATAATAGTCACTAAATTTTAAGAGAAAAATTAATGGTAAAATTGTAAATAAAAATGACGACAATTTGAAAGACATTGGTGGTTAAATCTACAATAACAAAATTTTCCTCTTTTTTGAAAGGTACATGATATATTTTTTTTCTTTTATTTCAAATTGCTTTTCGAATTTCGTATGACTGAATGAAACTGACATGTTGTCTCGATGGCTTGAATGGATGTCATTATTGAGGGCCCTACATAGACTCTATGAAGAGGTTTTAATTGAAACCCGAGAGCGATTCTACTTTGAGCTAATAAAATGTGTTAATTCGGTACAACTTATTACTCGCGATGGAAGTTATGACAATACATAAACCAAACTGATGAAAAGACATTATAATGTATTAGCAAGAGTAAGGTTTGGAGCGAAGTTTGGGAATTTAAAATTGTGAAATGGCAATTTACTGTTCATTTTTGTGAGCGGCATCCCAGCGCTGCGGACCGTCAGGTGCCGTCACGTCAGTCGAGTTCAGTCGAGTTGCGTTGCGCAGCTGATGGCGTTGTACGTACGCAGGCGCGCGCTCCCAGTCGCTTGAATGGACATTGACAGAACACAAAAATTATTTTATATATTTTATTAATTAAAAATTGAATCAAAACCCTTACAAACTTGTGCTTTCGTCACGAAAAGCGTTATAAAGTATTGGCAAGGAACAAGTGAAGTGCGTTTTGCGTGTGTGTGTGTGAAATAAATTTGAAAAATCGATTACAAAACGACTTTCGGTTGATTTTGTCGTTGTTAAATTGTCTTTTTTTTTTTGTTAGTTTTGCAACAAGTGCGAGGTCCGCTAGGTGTGGTGTGTAGATGCGCCGGGAACTGGTTTGCGGACCGTTGTCTTTTTTGTGTTGTGTGGTGTTTGTCTGTTTGGGAGACGTCAACGGTGGCTGGGTGGCAGCGAGTGGTCGGGCCGTTCTCGAGGCGGTGGCAGGGATGCTGCATATTGCTATTCGTTGAATTACCGCACATCGTCGCATGGTAAGTACTTTCTACTTCCTTCTACATTCGGTTATGCAATTATTGTAGGTTGCACTATGCAACTGTGAAGTGCACTACATGGAGTGCAACTTGTATAGAAAGTTTTCTTAAGTTCGCCCCTCTTCTGATTGTCTTAATTAGCATCAGGCATAATTTTCAGGGCAACTTTGCGCCGGTTTAACACTTCGCATTTTGAAATGCAGCTCGTAACAATGTCGTTTTATTGCTAGAGATTAGGTGTAGCTCAATCATTTTTTGAAAACGGGTAAGATCGTCATGGTAGTTACGACAAAAGTGTAAAAGTATTTTGTACCTGCCAAATAGTGTTATGAGTACGAGTAGGTAGTACCTAATAGGTACTACCTATATTATCAATTGAAAAAAAAAATGTTCAATTAATCTATTATGAATCACAGACGTAATATCTGTTTGTACGGTGTAACGTTATACAATAGATATTATAAAAAGGGCTAGTAGGTCATCGTAATCTCTTTTTCAATGGGCTTATCGTTTTATTTAATTTGAAGTGAAATTTGCTTTTCCAAGCAGATGGGAGATAGGAGAGGACGACACTGGCATCCTGGATTTTCCAAACCGTCTATGATGTTTTGTGTCTACGTTACACTGTAACATGTTTAAGAATTATTTCGTAAAACAAAGATATGTAATTATTATCAGAGGAGACATTTCGATTTACCTTTGGTATTTAATGTTTCGAAATAAAATTATGTAGAGTATCCACTCGATGGCTCATTAATTGAAGAGGCTGTATAGTAGAACCTTTGCTTACCCAAATTATTGGGTTAGAATTAAAAAAAATATATATTGACATTGTCTCTCGTATACTAAACGAACTTGCCATAACTTCCAGAAGATTGTTAGTAGTTTGGTTATAGTTGATATCAGTATGCATTTTGTCTAATTGCTGACTGCTTAGTCTGTCTGAACCTTGATATTTATACATTTATATTTATAAAATTAATTGGCACAACGTAATGCTACCGTTAGCAATGTCGTATCATGGGTTTGCATCCGACACGTATCCAAACGTGTCAAATGTCAATCTCAAAATAAAACAAACCAAAATGTTTCCAAAATTAAAGAAGCAAAATTTTGAACGAACAAGGATAATTATCAAAGAAAATAAATATCTTGGTTATTTTGAAGCCTGGTTTGTATGCCGCAATTGTAGACGGAATACCCGTACAGCTTCGATTCAGTAGCGTGGACAGCAAACATTATTGTTAATAAACTACTGCACTTCGCTGAAAATTTTTTAGCTTAAATACAGATTATCCCACCGAAACATCAAAAGCAGGCAAATGAAGCACCCATACTTGCGGAAAATCCGCTTGACCTGAAACAGGAGAAGTATGGCGGTGCTAACTAAAAAAAATCATTTAATTTAGTTTTTTTTTAATGTAATTGTTTTGATCACGTTGGGATCACCAATATTGCAACGTTATGCCATATATAAATTAATAATGCTGTATTCGATGCGTGAGATATTTATTATAGAGATATTTACAATGAAAGATGATCGCAGACATGGAAAACGTGAGTTACAAAAAAATGAATTAATCGTCAAGGTGGCAATAGTGATGTCTCACAGTCCGGTGCCCACAGAAGCACCAATCAATTTTACGAAAATGATTCTAAATAGTTTCTCGGGATTAATTCAACAATCAACTCATCAAATCAAGTGTGTTGCTTCATTCATTATTTGCTACCCATCGTTATGCTTTCGCTCTCACAAGGTGCAATGCTAATTTGCTTTTAATTAACATACTATATCACTTTTGCTATCTAATCCACTATGCTTTTGCTTCATAGCCTATTTATTTTTTGCTCTTTTTTTGCTTAGAAGATATAGTCCTTATTACATATGCATTTCACGGCCTTTTCCAATTGGAGATAGGCGAGACAATACTGCCCTCTTTATCATAACTAACGTAATTGACATTTTTAGCAAATTTGAGTTATTAACAATCTGGAATTAGCAAAACGAGATATACAACCCCCTCTAATCGGTTTTTTCATATCTTATTTATTTTCAGTTTTATAGCAACAAAATGTGGACGAAAATCTAAAAAAATAAAATCAGCGTAATTGAAATTTTTCGCGCAAAAAAAATCTCTAGGTGTCAATATCTCGAAAAGTTAACAAAATGTAAGTGAGGTTGGTTATAACAAGGAGGGCAGCATAGCCTTCCATTTGCTACGGTCCTGACACACATCTCTCGCCTCACCAACGCACATCAATGATCGTCGGTTCTCTTGACCTGGCCTTTCTTTAACATATCCTTGTACGAATTTCTATTGCAAATTAGGCGACAGGCCACATTATTTGCGGTCTTATTGTCCCATTGGCACATTTTATAACTTTGTTAATATCGCATATCAATTGATTTCATGACGGTTTCTCTATGGAAACTAATCACGATAACGACAGTCATTCCACGGAAAGACGTCAGAGAATGTAGTTAGAGTAAAAATTACCTAAAGTTCCTGATGTCTTTAAATAAAACTTCATGTTCTTGGTGTTTGTTTTACTAAGTACCGTTTCACCTTAAGTAGTTAGTCAAATACTTATCCATGTAACCATTAAGGCACTAACTACCTAATATTACTCAAATGATGTTGGTATAGGTTTTTGTTTATCATTATTGCTAACCGTTTTAAATTACCTAAAACGACGTCATTAAAAGCTTAACGCAGTGATTGTTTATTGTTATTAAAGGTTACTTTTACATATATCAGTGATAAAAGCTCCATCGATCCCAACCACCTAATGAGGTTTCCCTCTTTTTTTATCATACCAAGTGATGACACGAACAAGTCGTGCGTCTGGTGGTAAGGGACACGCCTGTTCATAGCAGTTGCAGTGCCACTCAAGTCCACTTGCACTAAACTTAAGTCTGTTTTAAACCAATGCTTGCAATGCAAAATACACTCATAATACATTGAGTTAAGAGTGCCTTGTTAGTTTAAGCATTAATTTAAAACGTTTTAAAAAGTTAAAGTTTAAAAGTTAAGTTTAAAAGGTTTAAAAAGTTTAGTGCAAGTGGACACCAGAGCTTTAAATCGCAAAGATCTGAGAGACATGCTATCGCGCCCGTCACGCCGAGACATAAGTTGACACGTCTCATGTACCTTATAGCAGCGGTAGAGCTCCTTGTGAAAGAGTTCGCCGAGGGAAGTAGGTATTGCCACTTTACCTATTTCTGCCGTCAAGCAGTAATGTTAGCATTACTGCGTTCCGGTTTTGAAGGGTAAAAGGGTGCTGATGAAATTACAGGCATATGTCAACTTATGTCTCAGAGTGACGGCCGCAGTGGCAGTGCCCGTGCCCCTTTGCGATTTAAAGCTCTGAATGGCAATGCAACTGTTATGGACTGGTGTGTGGCTTACCATCAGGCACAGGACTTGTTCGACCTGCCACTTGATATTATAAAAAAATATATAATTTCACCAGCACTCTTACCCTTCAAACCCGGAACTCAATAAAGCTTACATATATATGTAAGCTTAATACTGCCTGACGGCAGAAATAGTTTTAAGATGGCAGTACTTCACTGGACGAATTCTTTCACAACGAGCTCTACTGTTACTAAAATCGCGAACATTCACGACCGATTGAAAAGTAAATTCCTTCTATAGATTTATCGAGATTTATAATAAAGTTTTGAAACTTTCGCAAACTAAATGCCGTCAAGCGAGATAACTATATCCTTCAAACTTTTAAATTGTATCCTCAGTTACAAATCCCTGACCACTCTATCCAGTCCCTGACGCAATTCCAAATAGGATATCACCATCAAAAGTAGACTCACTTACCTTTTAACAGATTCGTACTTCCCAAGTTCAGCAATTACATCCGTGACCAAAATTCTAAGGCCGTATTACAGACCTTGACCTATTTGTTGAAATATCCGGGACCCGCCATCTCCCCAGGCAAAGCCGTCGAAATGTTAGAAGTACCAACCTACTATAAACCATAATACATAGCTACCAGTCAATTTCACTTTTATTTTAAATTACAGAGCAGAGTT